TGGAGGACCCAAGGTGTGAGCATGTGGGAACGGATGGAGGGAGGTGTGAATACAGGTGAACAGAGGACCCAGGGTATGAGTGCGTGGAAACGGATGGAGAGAGGTGTGAACACAGGTGCGTGGAGGACCTAGTGAGTGAGTGCATGGGAACAGATGGAGGGAGGTGTGAACACAGGTGCATGGAGGACCCAGGGTGTGAGCACATGGGAATGGCAAGAGGGTGAGAGGTGTGAACACAGGTGCGTGGAGGCCCCAGGGTGTGAGCGCGTGGGAATGGACACAGAGAGGTGTGGACAGGTGCATGGAGGAGGGATGGGGTCACTGGGTGACCCTGCCTCCCCTCCTGCTGCTGCTCTGACCCCTGGGCTTGGCTGGGCCAATGCCCCCGGGGGAGAACAGGAGTGGCCGTGAGAGCCGGGACCCTGGGCCTCGCCGCGGCCACCGCCCTCAGCGCCCAGCTGGATCCGCCGGGACAGCCCCAGAGTCACAGGGAAGCTCACGTCCCCGTCTCCTCCACGACGGCTGTAAGTCCACAGCACTCGCCGGAGGGCCAGCGCCACCGGGAGCAAGGCCAGGTGCAGGCAGCGCCCGGGGACAGGAGGGGCCCCACGGGCATCGCCCGCCCCTGCACACCAGAAGGGAACAGTGGATGCCACCGCCCCCCGTCCGGGCCTCCGTGTGGGTGAACAGGTCTTCTCCGGGTCTCGCAGGGCAGCGCTCCTTGGCAGCGGAGCCAACGCGAGAAGCAGAGAGGCGCCGATGGAATGTTCCGCAGGCCCACGCCACAGCAGAGCCCGCGGTGCAGGACGCGGCTCATGGCCCCCACCTCCCTGTGCTGCCTCATCGGCGCCTCAGTTCCCCCGTCCAGCAAGTGGGGCACGGCTCCCGCGGGTCTCCTGGGTGGGGTGCGCCCCATGTGCAAGCTCCGCGCGGCCTCAGCCTGCTCGGCCCGCAGGGCCTGCTTCCGCTATGTGCGCCTTTGGGAGGAGCCCACCCTGCGCTGGGCCCGCAGGTGCCCAGGGTTGGGGGTGGGGGGTGGACAGGGTACAGACACTCGTCGCCTGGGGCAGGACAAGCCGTGGCAACCACGGGCAGGGGGGAGGGGTGCGGCTCAGGGAGGCAGTGGGTGGCCGAGCGGAAGGCCCGGCCTCCCCGAAGGGTGAGGACCGGCCAGGAGGAGCCACTGAGGAGCACTCCCCCTGGGGGTCCTGCACCCTGGCCCCAACTGACTGCTTACCCGGGAGTCGCCCCCCTGCTCTTCACACAGGAGCGCAAGCAACTGTTTGGGTTTGCAGTTTCCCTCCTGCCTCGAGTCGGACCTTATCTTGTCATCTAGACTGTCCCCAGAGTCTCAGAGGCGACACAGACGAGGCAGGCGCAGGCGCACAGCTAGCACGGAAACCCCGTGTTGGAAGCCACCGCCAAGAACGGAGCCTGTGTCCCACCAAGTGAGCGCCCACCCCCCCCCGGGGGCCCCACAGGAACGAGACCGGGGAGCTGCCCTTCTGCACTCTGACCCCCAGTGGCGGGAGCCACCCCCCTCCCGCAGCAAGGAGCCCCAAAACCTTTGCTCGGAGTGTGCCCCGCCCCGGCCACAGACCGTGCCTCCTGGGGGGCCGCCCCGGCTTCCGATGCGCCCAGAGGGTCTGCAGAAACACTGCCCCTCCCGGCTGTAGCTGAACCGCCAACCCGCACCTCCAACCGCCCTCCGTCCTCCCCTATGCAGACCAGCGTGGACGCGGTCCTCCTGGGCCCTGCGGATGAGATCTGAATTCTTGGCATGCTTTCTTCTTGGTTAATGGTTCTAAAGGGGGGTGACCACGGAGGTCACAAGTGTCAGAGTCAGAACGGAAGAGACCCCGAGATCCCCTTCTGCCGTCCAGGGAGCAGTGGCCCCGGAACGGTTTGGGCCGGGAGCACCTCCTGTAGGGCGGTTGCAGGTTGGCCCGGGGAGCAGCGGGATCCTGTCGCCAGGCCCTGGGCCTGCGGGGCAGGGGCCTCCAGGCACCCGGCTCAGCAGACAAGCACAACCGGGGTCCGGCCCGGGGCCTCCGTCCCCAACACCCGCCGCTCACAAGGGAGCACCACCACGTCCCCAGAAGAGGCTTCAGGTGGCACGAATGTCAGCGGCGGCACCGAATGTGCCCCTTCAGGGCCCGCTGGCCCCGTGACCCCCTCCTTGGGCCGCAGTGGCTGCGCCCGGGCTCCCCCCAGAGCCGGCCGGGGGGCCGGCGTGCTATCCCTTCCCAGGCTCTCACGGAGGTGTGGCCACGGAGCCGGCGCAAAGTGCTAATTATATTGTTTTTAAAATCCATTTCACAGAGTGAGCTAATAATCGGATCCGAGAAGCGGCGTTCGCTGACAGACCACGAGGGCCACTGCGGCCCGCCCGCCTGGCTGACGGGAGCTCAAAGTTGCAGCAGGCTCGAGAAATCGCTCAAGGTTAGATTAAAAATAAGAACACCCGTGAAGATTCACCTGACTCATTAATATCACTGTCCAATAGGAGACAGTTCCTCGGAGGGCCTGGCTTGGGGCTGGGTTTTGTTCTAGGCCCAGGAGGACCTTAATTTGCATTTATATTAAAAAAAGAAGAAAACAAACAGAATTAACTAGAAAGGTGCTTTGTTTCCTGTAAATCTGAGCTCCCGTGCTAAACAGCTGCCAAGGGCAGACGGGCGGGCCCAGCCTATGTCAAAGAACTGGATTCACACCTCCCAAGAGCAGGGGCGAGCCACCTGGGAGCCCCCCCCCCACCCCATGGGCCTGGCAGGTGAGTGCTGCGTCAGGCTCCTTCCACAGGTGGGAAAGCCACGGCCTGGGAAGGAAGGGGCTTGACCTGCCTGTGGTCCCCCGCACGACCACACTCAGGGGACAGGCCAGCTCCCTGGGCTCCAAGCACAGGGTCAGGGCAGCTGACTCGGGGCAGTGTTTTCTTCCTTACGGACGTATTCCAACCTTTCTTTCCAGAAACTCAGGTGGAAACCAAGGAAGGAAGTGAGAAAGATCCACGAGGTCATCAGATGCCCCCCCACCCTGGTCCGGGACTGAGGGGAGCCCCCCCTGTGAGCTCCGCTGACCTAACACCCCGCTCCCCACCCCCATTTGGCCCCACGTTCCTTGACTTTTCTCTTTGGAGCCTTCGGCGTTCGAGGCATACGCCTGGAACCACCAGCGAGGATCTATAAACACACCCCGATGCGAACTTTGTCTCGCTATTTACTCTTTCAGGTAAACGGAACCGTCTCGGGGGGCTGCTCTGCACCCCACCCCAGCCGTCTCACTGTTGGAGCTCAGCTCCCGAGAGCAGCCAGGGGTTTCAGGGGCTCCTTTCACTCCTGGGGCCAGGGTGCTGGCCGAGGTCACGCAAGGCATGGTTAGGGGATGCCGGGCTTCTCCCCCAGGGCAGTCAGCCGGGGAGGCACATCCCTGGCTCTGGCTCCCCAGCAAACAGGCCCCGGGGGTCCCCGGGGTCCCCCGCCCTGTGCGTCCCTGTGTTGCCGCCACAGCTCAGGCTAGAAGTTTAAAGAGAAAGATGACGGTAGTGACCGCCCGGGCCTCTCAGGCGCTGGAAGCACAGGGTGGGGAAAGGAGGGCTCCTCTGTGCTTTGGCCGCCAGGCCAAGCGCGTGGGGCAGGCGGGAGCGGAGCTGGTTACGTAGACGACAGAAGAGCAACTGCCTTCCCAAAACAGAAAAACCTGCACCGATGAATTAAACATTTCAAACAAGATGACTCTCCACAAAGTCTTCTCAAGCAAGAAGCAAAGACAGGCCGTCCTGTGCTGGCGCTTCCTGTTGCATATGGCACTGAGCAATCCTGCTCTTTCAGCATGCAGAGCTTCCCAGACAAAGAAAAACATCTAGGGGAAAATTAGCGAAGGAGGTCCAGAGGAGTCGGGGCGGAGGGAGGACGGGGCGGTGGGCAGGCCGGGGCCTCTCATGGCAACGAGGGCGCACAAGGCACGGGACCCGGCACAGAAAAGAGGCCACCGGAGCTGACACAGTGGCCCTGACAGGTCCAAGGAGATGGCCATGCAGAGGCAGGGTGCCTCGCCGCCGAGACAAGTTGCAAAGCACAGGGACACCACCCGACTGGCTGCCACGTCCACTGGGGTGAAGCCGCCACCTGCTCCAGTTCCCAAGGGTCTCCAAGGGTCACACGTGCGGGTTCTCCAAACCCCCTGAGCTCGGCGGGGGCACTGCCCTGGGCACCCTGCTCGGCGGCCGGCGGCGCCCTTGGAAGGGGGACCCACAGCGGTCCCCGGGGCGGGGGCACCGGCCGGACTGTCTCCGCAGACCAGGGGTTGAGCCTCCCCAGTTCCTGGGCAGCAAGCCCCCGCCCGGAGGGGTTGGCGGGGTGCACAGGTCCTGCGCTGCCCTCTCCGAGCAGGTGTCCCCGCGGCCACCCCCACCCCGAGCAGCAGGGAGCAAAGTGTCCCCCGCCCCGGGTCCTGGGCAGCACCAGGCTCCGGACCGACCGCCGAGAGAGGAGCCCGGCGGGAGGGCGGCTGACATCTGGGCTGGAGGCGGCGAGCGAGGGTCCCCGGAGTGCCCAAGGGCCGCGGGGCCGGGCCGCGCTCTCCGCGTCCCGGAGCGGTAGTAAGTGTAGGGCTGGGAGCCCCGCGCAGCCCAGCCCAGCCCGCGCCGGGGCGGTGGGTGGGTGGGTGTCTGCTCTGGGATTATTCTTAGCGCTCCACTCTCTTCGCAAAAGTGGCGCCTCCGCCCTCCCGGCTCCGGCACGCTCGCTCGGGGCGCGCACGCCCGGCCAGACAGCGGGCGCCCGGCGGGGCCGCGGGTGGGGTCGGCGAGGGGCGCGGCGCGCGGGGGCGCTCCCGGGGAGGAGGGGGCGCGGCGGGCGGGAGGCACCCACCCCCCCCCCGGCCCCCGGCCCCGGGCCGCCCGCTGCGGTTAACCCTGCGCGCCCCGCGCCGCGCGCTCGGCCGCCCCCTCCCCGGCTCCCCCGGCGCGGGGCGCGGGGCGCGGGGCGCGCGGCCCTTACCTATGGTGGTGATGACCGTGATGGCAAAGTAGAAGGAGCCGGCGAATTTCCACTGGACGCCGGCGCGGTGCGGCTCGGACTGCAGGATCACCAGCTCCAGCTGCCGGTAGTCCTCGGCGCTGATGTTGTACTTCCCCTTGATCCGGATCTCCTCCGCTTTGAGTTTCTCCTCCTCGCGCATCTCGTGGTCCGACTCGAGGGCGTCGAAGACGGCGGCGCCCACCAGCAGGTAGGTGAAGGTGCAGACGATGAGGGACAGAGTCCGCACGTTCTGCCTCTTCATGGCCGCCAGCAAGGAGCCGGCGCGGGGGGCATGTCCCGCAGGCTCGCAGCCGCGCGCGTCCCACTGCAGCGCCCGGCGGCCGCCGCCGCCTCCTCCGCCGCCGCCGCCGCCGCCTCCAAGTTGTAAGCGGCGGCGGCAGCGGCAGCAGCAGCAGCGGCGGCGGCGGCGGCGGCGGGGAGGCGGGGGGCGGGGAGGCGGGGGGGGCCCCCCTCCGGCCGGGCCGGCACCGCCACCGCCGGGCGGCCGGCGGGGCAGCGGCGGCGCGGGCCCGGGCTCGGGCGAGAAGGCGGACAGGCACAGGAGGCTGCTGGAGCGCCGGGGCCAGGCGTCCGGGAGCCCCGACACCCTGCGCCAGACCCGGCCGAGGCAGCCCGCCCCGCTGCGCAGGGCCATGCACGGCGGCCCCGCCGGGCCCCGCGCCCCCCGCGCCCCCCGCGCCCCCGCCCGAGCAGCAGGGGCGGCGGCGGGAGCCGGAGCCGGAGCGGGAGCCGCAGCCGCAGCCGCAGCCGGAGCCGGAGCCGCAGCCGCAGCCGCAGCCGGAGCGCGGCCGGAGCGCGGCCGCCGGGGCCCGCGCCCCTCGGGGTCCGGCTCCGGGGCGGCGGCGGCCGGCTAGGAGCCCGCGGGTCTGCGCGCCGCGCGGGACCTCCCCCCGCCGCCCCGGGCCTCCCCGCCCCCCCTCGGGGGGGGCCGCAAAAGTTTGCGAAGTGGCGGCGTCTCCGGAGTCCCCGGCGGGCGGGCAGGGGGCCGGGCAGGTGCGGCGGGCGCGGCGGCCCGAGGCCCGGAGGTGGGCGCGCGGGGGCGCGGCGGGGGCGGCGCGGGGCGCGGGCCGGGCTGCGAAGTTTGCGGGGCTCAGCCCTCGGGGCGCGGGAGCGGGGCGCGGCCCCAGGGCGGCAGGGCCCGCGGCGGAGCGGCCTCGGGGGCGGCCGGGGGGCGGCGCGGCGGCGGCGGCGGCCGGCCAGCCCGCTCCTCCGGGGGCGGCGGGGGCGGCGGGCGCGGCGGCGGCGGCGGCGGCGGCGGCGGCGGGAGGGGTCCCGCGGGCCCGGCGGAGCTGCGGGCGGGGCGCGGGCGCATGAGCCGCGCCGGGGTCGGGGCCCTCCGGCGTCCGGGCGTCCGGGGAGGCGGCCGCGGCGCTGGTCTGCCAGGGGCGCTGCGTGCGTGCGCGCCGGAGGGAGCCGAGTGTGTGCGCGTGTGTCCGGGCGGGCGTGTGTGTGTGCGCCCGTGTGTGCGCGCGCGCGTGGCACCTCGCTCGGGCGGGAGGGCCGCGGGGGGCGGGGGGCGGGGGCCGGGCTACGGCGCGGCCAGGCCGGCCTCCCCCTCCCTCTGCCCTCCCTCCCGCAGCCTCCCGGGCGCGCCACCTCCCGCCTGGGCCCCAGCCAGCTGGCGAGGCGGCCGCGGCGGCTCCCGCTGCAGACCGAGCGCGGCGCGCGGCGCACGCGGAGGGAGCCGGGGAGGGGCGGCCGGGCGGCCGGGCGGCCGGGGAGGGGGCGGGGGCGGGGGCGGGGCGGGGCGGGCCGAGCGCCGGGTGTCGCCCGAGCGAGGGTGGGGGGCGGAGCCGCCGGCGGGTCGCGGCGGGGGATGGGAGGATAAAGGCGGCTGCCCGGGCCCCTCTCGCCCGGCTCCCCGGGAGCGCCTGCGGCCACGCGGGGCGGAGAGTTTGAGAGGACCGGGCCTGGGGGGGACGCGGGGCTGAGCCCCGACAAGGCCGACCGGCAGCCCCGGGGAGCCGCGAGAAGGGGGCGGGGGCGGGGGGCGCGCGGGGGGAGGGCGCTCCCGGGGCCGGCCACCTGCCGCGGGCGCACCTCCGCGACGCGTGCCCGGGCCCCGGGGCCGCCCTAGCCCCCGGCGAGCGTCGCCGGACAGGTGGCCCGGCACCTGCTGATCCTGCGCTCTCGGCCGGGGAGCGCCGAGGATGGGACCGGCCGCCACGCTCGGGGTCGCGGCCTCGGGGAAGGATGCCGCATTCCCCCTTCCTCGTCCCCTCCCCGTTGCTTTTCCCAGAAACATTCCTTGGTTCCCCGAGGCTGGGCGCCGGGTGCTGCGCCCAGAACGTAACCCCGCCGCCCCCCGCCCCCCGCGCCCGGAGGGCCCCACTCCCGACCAGCCCCGGGGAGGGAGCACGAGGCTCCGGCGGGGGCGCAGCGGTTCCTTGAGTCGGTCCGGAGGGGAGGCCTCTCCCCGCATCAGCCCCGGCCCACAGCAGCCTCCTCCGCCCGCTTCCCCCCATCCTCCCCGGGTCCTCGAGGGCTTTCCCTCGCCGCCCGTCCCCCGACCCCCTTAATCCCCACTTGAGCAGTGGAGCTCGCAGTGGGTAGGCCCAAGGCGCGGAGACCCCGGGCTCCTCCTCCCCGGGTCTGGCGACCGTCCCTGGACCCCAGCCAAGGAAGAGATGGAGACTTGGGTGAAGGGACGCCCCCAGGCGGCGCGCTAACACGCCGGAGAGGTGGCCAAGGGCGTCGCGGGGTGGACCCGGGGGTGGCCCCGGCCGTGCGCGCTCTCGGGTCGGAGCGCTGACCCCTCTGGGTCGCCCTCTCGGGCTGCGCATCGGCGGGGACTCGGGGTCAGGAGAGTGTGGGAACCCTGTGCCTCCCCGAGGCCCCCCTCCCCTGCTGGGGCGCTGTCCACCCCACTTATGGGACCCGCGGGTGCTCGCGCCCCCCCACCCCCGGGCCTACGGGCAGGGGGGCCGGAGCTGTGGGCCCCACCTGGGCCGCCGGCCGGGTCTGCGGGCGCAGCGGGCCGGGGATGGGGAGCCCCCACCCGGAGCAGATGCTCCCCTGGAATTCATTTTGGAAGCCGAGGCGCCTGCTCTCGGCGAATGAGCCCGGCCGCCCGGTGAGTCACCGCGAGCGGCGACAAGGATTCCCGCAGCTGGTAATTAACCGGCAGAACCGGCGGGCCGGGCCTCCTGCGCCCCGCAGCCGCAGCCCTGAGTCACAGCCGTCGGGCCGGGGCCGCCCCAGCCGCCTGCCCGCCCGCCCGCCCGGCGCCACCAGGGGGCACTGGACTCCGGCCCACAGGTGGCCCCGCTCGGAGCCAGGTGGGCAGGGGAGTTGGGCTGTCCCCGCCGCAGGTGCGGGAGGGGCGGGCGGGGATGCTCTCCAGTGACAGACCCAAGCTTCATTCAGTTTACACACCGCCTTGCCTTTCGGGAAACTGGAACCGCCTGTGCCCACCGGAAGGGGGAAGGGACCGCAGGTGACCTAGTCCAACCTGCTTGTTTTACAGGTGGGAAGGCTTCCAAAGGGGGACAGTCACGTGCCCAGGGACACAGGACAGTTACCACCTCCAACCCGGCTTCTGTCCAGCACTCTCTCGAGGACCCCAGCCGCCCTCTGACCCCAACGTCACGGTGCCTTGGAGAGTCACAGACCACCGCCCCCCCCCCCACACACACACACAAAGGCTGGCTCTTCCTTTTCTCCTCCCTCCAAAATATGGCCTTTGGACTCAAGCCCCGGGAGCCAGACCTCAGGGAGGGATCTTGGGGCTGGAAGAGGACACACACACTCACACGCGGCACTCTCTACCCCCCGCCTGCCCCCTCCCCGTGGAAGTGAGGTCCCTGGAGCAGAACCTGGCTCCTGGCGTCTCCCCTGTGTCCCCAGCACCCCCCACACCTCAGCGGCTCAGCTAGGTCTGTGCGTTGGCACCGCCTGACCGACCACAAGGAGCCTAGACTACCGCAGGTGCCCCTGGGGGAGCCTCTGGGGAGCCCAGCTCCTCCACTACCCCTAGGGTTCCGGGAGCACCCACTCCAGCCCAGCTCCAGGTGGATCTGGGGCTCCAATGGGTGGGGGGGGGGGACTCAACTCCCAACCAATGAGAAAGGACCTGGGAAAGCATTTCTGGGAGGAGCTGGGGCAAAAGGAGGGAGGCAGGAAAGCCCCGCCCCCTCCCCCCACCCCCAGCAAGAACCCCCTGATTTAGGGGAGCAAATACGTTCTCTGTGCAGCATAGGCCACTGTGGGTTCATCCCAAGCCTGGCAGGAGCCGCGGGCAGCCTGTGTCCCTCGAGGGGTCCGTCACTGGGCCTCCCTGGACCTAGGTGTGTTCTTTAGTAAATACAGATGTGTTGGTTCAGGTAATAAAGAACATCGCGCCCTTACAACATCTGCCGCCTTCCTGTTTGCAGGGCTCTCCACCCACGCCAGTTTGTCATTGGCCTCCAGGGGCCAAGGCGGGTTACCCGGTCTCACCCAGGGAAGCCCAGCAGTGGACGCTGGTCCCACGGGGAGTCAGAGTGGACGCCCCCGGGCCTGCCACCGCAGCACTGTGTCCCTGAAACCGTGAACACTCTGCTGCCAGCGGAAGCCCCGGAGCCACCGTGCTCCAGGCCCGGCTCCCAGGCTGGTGCCCCGGTGCCTGCGCGGACATCGTCATGGTCGGCGCTGGCCCGGGACTGTTTGCTGGCAAGAAGCCACAACGGCCTGCTGCTTCCAGAACATCAGACTCCCTGGGTGCCTGCATGTAATGCTGTGTCACGTTAATGCCCCCACCCCTGAAAATAGGCAGAGGCTGTGGAATCACTGCCCCCATTTTATAGATGGGGAAGGTGAGGCGCTAAGCCGCATGGGCCCCAATCACAAAGAGAAGCTGTGGTCTCCTCAGGGCTCCCATGCCAGCTCTGTAGGCGCCTCCCCGCACTTGCAGCTTCGCCGGCCCCCACCGGGTGCTCCCAGCCCACGACATTTGCAGCGGATGGTGTGTCTTCACTCTGGGCCCCCAGATTCCAGAGAGAAGGGCTCTGTCGCCAGGCAGCCAGGCCCTCAGGAGCTTGCCAGACTCTCCTTTGGGATGTGAATCAGCACGCCACGGAGAGCGTTTCTCTGGGCGCACTGGGGACACTAGGTAAGCGGGAAAATTCAGGATTTCGCAGAGCCTGGGCCTGCCAACAGGCGTCCTGACCCGCAGGCTGCAGTGCCGTGAACAGCATCTACCAAATCCACTTGAGCGTGGGATCTGCCTTTGGGCGCAGAGCTGGCCTCAGAGCCAGGCCCCGG